ATGGATGGATGGATGGATGGATGGATGGTATCAGATTGGGACTCAAAACTCGTGTCAGAAATAGTTTTGAATAGTATAAACGTCCCTGTGAATGAAAACCTGTCGTCACTGTACCTGCAACGCTCTGGCTGCCCTCAATGGTGTTCCTTCTTGTGGCTGCTGCAGCGCTGCTCTGTGGAGGGCTGCTGCTGCTGCTGCTTCCTCTGGAGTCAAGAGGACTCTGAAACCAAAGTTTAAGTGTCATGTCAAGATGAAAAAAGCCCAGAGCTCCCACATAGTGAATGACTTGATGATTTGAGGACTGTCAAAGCAAAAATGGATAAAGGGACTTATACATGCTGCCTTTGTCACACTTACTTAATTCAGCTCATGCTGCTGTGATCATACCATTGAAAGATGTGACCAAACTACAGGCAGACCTGTACTGACAAAATGAATATAACAAATAACATATAGACATAAACATGCTTACTGCAAACGTCACTCCTTTGGACACAGACGACACATTATTCTCAGAGATTTTCAGACCCTCTTTTGTTTCTGTTTCCTTCGGTGCAGCGACAGGGTTTTTCTTCAAGGTGCTGAGGCGGAGCTTTTCCAACATGCGGATCTTAAAGTAAAAGCAGAAACATGCTTAAAACATTATTTTTTTTAAACGGAAAACACTGAAACTTTTGGTTTTTTTAATTCAGGAGTATTTCTCTGCAACACACTAAGTCTGAATTCTTAACATGTTGTCGGCTCCATAATTTAAACCCTCTTTACCTGGTGTTAGAATAACACCTCAGCTGTGATTACATTGTGATTGGTTCTCAATATTAAGTTTGGCAGGGCTGCAGATTTATGCTAACAGACAGATTATGGCTTGCTAGCTCCAGATTTTACCTTTTGCCAGGCTTACTTAAACCCACAGGAAAATAAGGTGACCTTTGAATTTGCTGTGAAGATTTTACTGTATTTGCACCTGACTGAGATCTGATCACAGTGCAACTATCTGACATCAACTTGTGCTTATTTTCCATCCACATAACATTCCAGACGCAGGCTGCATTGTAACGCTAGACAGGTGAGGTGTCTGATGAGGTACCTCGTCCCGAAGAGAAGCGTTCTCCTGGCTGAGGGAGTCGACCTGTTGTCTCAGTCGGCTGTGTGTTGACGTCCACCGACTCTCCCTTCGCCTCAACTCCTCCTGCAGGGAGCTCAGCTGCTGCTTCAGCACCTGGAGATTCAAATAGAGTATTTTAAGATTTCACTCATTCATTCATATGTTATTCTTGTTACTGTTTTTTTCAGGGGTTTTGTTTTTTTGAAGCACAGCGTGTGTAACTAGATGTGCACAATTACCGAAGTTTTAGGAAACACTTTTTTTTTCCTAAGTCTGCAAACTCAAGAGCTCAGATTTTTAATTTGACTGTCAGTAGGAACTCTCATCGTTAGCCAAAATTATGTGTGAATTGCTGCAGCAAACAATGTTGTGTAATAATTTATGTTTTGTGCCATTATGCTACTATGTGAGCTTAAAACATGCTTAGATTTGCTTTCCCCACTGTCCATTTTAAACTTGAAAAAAATAATTATTTGTCTCCTTGTGTGCAGCAGAAAACGCTGTTAACATTGGATTATTACCTCGTAAGTTAATAAGGTACAAATATTGACAGATCTAGCTGATGCAGAAACACTGAAGTCACGTTCTATGGAATGTGTATGTAAAGTCCACAATCGTCAACCTACTAACATGCGATTTGTTGATCTGGTTCAGTAAGTTTTGCATCACCTGGATTTCCTCTCGCTCCTTCTTGTCGGGCACGGCTCTGGCAGCTAACGCATGCTTCTCAAACAGTTTGCGCTCCTTCTGCAGCTTCTTGTTCTCGTCTTTCTTGTATTCCTCAAACTTTGCCAGCTCCTCGGCTTTGGTCTGCTCAAACGCCAAACGCTCTTTTCTACAAAACAAACAACAAAGTAGACGTAAATCTCACAGAAAAGGAAAGAAAAGAAACATCACATAAGAATACATTACTTCTAAAAAGACTTAGTAAAAGAAATTAGGATGTAAAAGTGAACAGAACACTGGCTGTTCATCATGCAGGGTCTCTGGCACCCTAAAAATAAAGATTTTGTGGTATTTATTTTTGTGAACGTCTTCATCAAATGTTATTCTGTAAGCCTTCTGTACTTTAAAAGTCTCACTGGACCAGTCTGTGCGAGTCTAAAGCTGATATTTTAAGAAACTTTTCATACTTTCACACGACTGAAATGTTTAAGCGCAGCCAAATATGTCACCTGAGATTTTCCTGATTCTTTTCATTCTCCTGCCGGAGTTTAGTGAGCGCAGCGTTCTCCTTCTTAAATCTCTCGATCTCAATCTCCAGCTCCACCAGTCTCTCTCGCAGCTGTCTCGACTGGACCTGTTGGACTGGGGACAAAAAATGCACACACAAAACTGAAAAACACACTCGTGGGGTATCTCATCCGTAACTGCTCATATGTGTTCCAAACAGGAGTGTTGATCTGTGACAATGTTCATGTTTTAACTGTATAATAACACAAAATCAGAAAGGAAAAGTGATCCTTTGAAGTTTACAGATGGTGCCAGAGCTCAAAATACAGAAGCAGGAAGACAGACAGAAAGAGTAGAAGACAGTAGTGCAGAGTTGACATTAATTTTGTGAACGAATAATCAGAGCAATCACAACAAACATTTGTCTAACCTGTCTCCTCCTCTGGCTTTTTGAACTCAGAAGCAACAGAAGCAGCAGGTGGAGGAGGACCAGGTGCATTCTGGGCTTTTGGCTTCAGCGAGGGGAACAACCTGGTCATGAGCTGGGAGGCAGGAGGAGGATCGGGCTCCAGGTTGACTGGACCTTTATGCAGCTCCACAACTTTGCTCACTGCTACCTTCCTCAACAAGGTCCTCTCCGGTGGTGAAACTCTGTTGGCTGCTGGCTTGGAAACTGGACTAACTTCAGTACTCTGATTGGCTGTGCCGATGGCGGTGTCCTCCAGGTCATTCCACGTGTCGTCATCGTCAAACACAACTCTCTGCTGCTGGCTGTCTTTGTCCTCGATCACAGTGGAGTCGTCATCATTGCTGACGTCGCTCTGCTGATCCTCTTCTTGTGCCACATCAGAAGCCAAATCCCTGGAAATGTCCTCGTCTTGATAAGACCGTTTGTCATATGGTGGGTTCGTTGGTGCAGGGAAGCAACAGCTGCTTTTGACCACGACTTCCTGGTCTCCAAATTCAGAACCACTGCAGGATGACATGTCAGAGATCTTACGCTTGTCTTCTCCCTCTCTCTCCTTATCCCCACTGCTCACTCTGGCCTTCAGTGCATCATCTCTTATCGTTTCCACAAATCCTTCTGAGATCACAGAACTGTTTTTACTGGATCCAACACTGCTGCACCTTCGAAGTGCATCCCTGGGAGGTGACTTGATGGGGGTGGAGGAGAGCCGCCGCTGATGGAGCCCCCTGGCTGCCTGCAGCTGCCTTTGATGCTGGTCCATCTGAAGAACCTGTGAGTTCAGAACAAAGTCTGAGATTGCAGGTATTTACAGTCAGCAGGTCAAATATGATTGGACAACACTCTAGAAAAACCACACAACAGATATGAAACTACTTCATTCTAGCAAGAGTTTGCTCAGAGTTCTTCACAGTCATTGAACACATGTACATGCTGTGTCTTACATTTTTTACTATGGTCATGACTTTTTTATGGGTGGATTTGTTTTTAAACCTACATAACACTCAGTAAAGAGATGACAGAAGATAAAGGGAGAGAGTTAAGAAATGTAACAAAGTTCCCTGAGGCTGATGGTGTCTTAATTACTATGCAACTTAATTGCAAGGGCAACCCACTATGGCAACTTATTTAAACTGCAGTAGAAGATGTTTGGCCACTTTGGGGAAGGGCTGAATCATTCTGGTTAATACAACATTAAGTATCTAATTGCATTTTTACAACACAAGCAGTTAGACTGACTCAAAACAACTCAAACAAGGAGCTGAAAACATCCTCACTCTCCCTAAAACTACCAGCAAGCCATTTACATAGAAGCAATAATGCATCATCAATACTGATTTTGACCACTTTTAAAGAGTACTGTGCATTAATTAAACAAATGAGCATGGTAGAATTTTTTTCTTAGGCAAGGCATCAAAACACTTCATGCAACAAAAATGTAGTGTCAAATTAAGCGTTATTCGGTTATGTTTGCAATAGGACTGCATGATACTGGAAAAAGGTGACATTGCAGTATTTAGTGTTTATGCAGTAAGGACAACAACATATTCAGCAGATGACTGAATAACTATTGTAAAGAATAAATAATTCTAAAATGAATGGAGAGATTTTGCAGCAGAGTGCATCAAAAATAGAAAAAACGTATTTATTTTTTTAAAGCTACAAAAAGGGACATTTGGAACCTTTCTCTAGTGGCATCAGACGAAGGTATCCAAAATATGTTTTTGCTTTGGACAGCATTCAGATCTGACTTTGAGTTGTGGTGCTAATTTTTAATGGTCAAACAAATTAGATTAATGGAAAAAGTTGCGACAGAGCATCTGCTTTTGGTTAACATCATAACTTCTGTAACTAAAATATTTTCATACACTGATGTTGTAATGTTTTATTTGGAACCAAATCTTGATCATTTTCTCTCCTATTCCTCGCTCATTTTACAGTGCACAAGGGCCGACTGCATGTCAACAAACTCTGTGTCTTGTAAACAAAGTATTTAAAAAAAAAGTGTATGTTATTAAATCTGAGTAAACTATGATTCATCAGACAGACTTCTCTTGAAGATTAGTCATGGAACATGAGAACGGTTTAAGGTAATGAATGTAGCACCTTCATGACAAACGAGGAGTTGGATGAGAAGGACAGCTCTTCAGCTGCTTGTTCCAGCAGCTCAAACTCTCCAAGCTCCATGTTTTCCAGGTGCTGGTTGCACTCCCAGTGATGGAGTTTCTCCTGGAATGATAACTCAAAGGAATCCTGTGGAGCTCCATCTCCTCCTTCTGTTCCCGCTCTTTCTTGAGCTGATTTCACTTTTGAAGCATAACTTTTCTCTTTAGTGGCATCATTTTCAGCCTTTCCTGGCCCTCCTAACATGCCCAGCTGTTTGGTTACAGGGTTTGGCTGCATGTTGTGAAAAGAGTTCTTTGTGGTCTGAACTGAAAGACGCACTTTCCTGTTATTCTGCTCCTTTCCTTGCCAAAGTTGATGTTGTTTGGTTTGTCTGATGTCTGGGTCAGTCGGAATAGACTCCGTTCCTTCTGTGTTCTGTCTCTGATAACTCCCCAAAACCTTTGTCCGTGCTGCCTTACTCTCTGCTCTCATGTCCTGAGGTGGTGAACTGAGTCCCCTCAGTCGGTTTTCCTTGTTGAGTGTAGCAGTTTTACGCTGGACAGGAAGCCGTGGGACACCATTTGCACTACTTTTCTGGATAGATGCAGGCTCTGAGTTACTGCGCGACATTACTTTGGCCCGGGGTTGAGGTTTGGGATCGTTCTTCACCTCTATTTTATGTAATGGAGCCTTGGGATTGTTAGTAAACCTAGAAAGCCCCTCGCCTCGCTTCAGAAAGGCCCTCTTGGGAGGGGCCTGTGCAGCTTCAGCTTCATCTGGGCTCTGTTAATGTGAGGAAACACAGTATGAACAAAATGTGCATCTGAATTTCTGTTGAATAAAAAAAACTTGGTAGTGTAGCAACTCTGAAGCCTTAAATGTTCAGGTTTTCTTTAATGCACCTCATTGCAACCACATTATAATATGATAATAGCAGTGGATTGAGGTTGTCAAACACTTTTCTTATCATCAAATGTATGGCTCATTGTTAAACAATCTTATGGGCTTTGCCTACAAAACTGTTTAGCTTTTGAAAACAGTTTTTTCATGTGTTTTAGCGCTGACAGATGATTTTCACCCTTTATAGGCAGAACCTCGCTATATCCTCTGACCTTTTGTTGCTGGACAGACTTCAGCCTCTGCTCCTCCAGCCACAGTTGCTCCTCCAACAACTCCTCAAACGTCTGCTTCTGACCCCCAATACCTGGTCTTATAGGTCTGGAGAAGAGCAAGACATATGCAGAAGGTGAAGAGATTCAAACAGACACAGTTTTCGATAAAATCACTCATACAAAACAGTACAAATAAGAGCCACATTGCTGCATGTCCAGCTTGGTCTAATCTCTTCATTTACCTGTCATGGGAGACTTTATCTTCTCTTCTGCTGTTGTCATCAGTTGTAGTCACACCATTATGTTGTATTAACATGTCATTGTCCTCGGGAAAATGGCCAGAATCGACACTCTGCTCCTCATCATCTTCTCTGGAGTTCCACATGCCTGTAGGAAACACAAAGTTTGAGAATCTCACATAGAGGTGATTTATCCCCAAAAGTATGTCAGCAATGTGCTGAAAGTAAAAGTAGATGTGTGCTGATGCTATGTTCGGAATACAAATACAAAAAACATAGTGATTAAAATGTTATTTTAAGCCTAAAAACAGATTTCTCACCTTCTTCCTCATCTTCAACCTCCACATGACCTTGATGTTTAAGTAGCTGCTCCTGTCTGCCTCTTGGTAAAGGCTGTTGTTCCTGTCGGAGGCCCTGTGTGACCCCATGGCAGCTCATATTGGAGCTGGAAGAACTTTCTCCGTAATGAGAAGTCCTGTGGAGAGTGTCCTCGCCCCATTCTGCTCCCAACGCCCCTGAACTCTCTGCATATTCTGAAAGACACATTCCAGTCACATCACAGTCTATGAAGCAGAGAAAATACATACAGATCGTTTACCAATTTGGTAAAGGAAAACAGTTGATCAAAATTGCAGCTAATCTAGTAATTTCTTTGTCTAACCTCCCACGCAGTGCTGGGATCCATTCATGATTCCCAGTAGCCTCTGCTGCTCCTCCTGGAGGCGAAGCAGCTCCTCCAACTGATGAGCTTTTAGCTGCTCCTGCATGTGCTGCTGCCACTTTCTCAACTGCACAAAAGCACACAATATTATTTTGTAATTTATCCATGTAGCCAAACTCTCAGTGTTTTCTTCAATTAATTTAAAGGCATCTCACAACTTGTGTACCTGTATCACATCAGTGTCTTCAATTAATGTACTGATAATTACCATACTAAAGTGTTTGCTTACTGTCATCTACGCATTTCTGTCACGATTTGAGTCTTCGCCAACATAATTAGCCTTAAGGGAAAAATACTAATAATAGCAGGGAAAGGCAAATGAGTGCGTGTGATGGAGGTGCAGGGTATTAAGTAAACAGGAAGACATGATGTAATCAACGGTGAAGCCACGCAAGGTCCCAGAAAAGCACAACTTCTTTAGAGAACATGCTGTTGTCCTAACATTAGTAACGAATACGTCGCTGTGTTTGGTTTGATGTGAATCAGTTTCAGTCATTTTACTATAAATCAGTATAAATAAAGGACATTCTCTTAGTATCAATATAAGATATCAGAAAACATGCATCAGAATGGAATATCAGCAGTTACGCTGCTGAGCTGATGTCCATCTCATTAGATCGCAATTTTAGCTGGCATGATCAGGTATTTCAGATGTTATTTCTAGAGAAAACTGATTGATGCTATTCTTTGTAGCGTTAATTTCAACAACCAGATTGTGCCTTGGGATGCAGACAATTAAAAGTGCCCTTGTTGTTATTACAATATAATTTACAGAGACAGATAATGAATATTTCACATCAGCATCAGTTAAAGGAGACACCAGATTCTGACATGCAACGTTGGCCTTACCTGTTCTAGCTTCATATTAAGAGGCAGATCCTGTGATTTTCCTGCAATCTCATCCAAACTGTTCAGCTGTCCATCTGTATTTGTCGTTGGGACGTAGACTAGACCGTTCACCGGCCTGTCAACTCCAGCCCTCTCCTCTCCAAGTGACCGTGCAAATCCATCCACGCCGAGGCAGCTGCTGTCTGCAGAGGCGGGCAAAGGGGCGAAGTCTGAGGCGAAAGAGTCATCTGGCTTCAGGGGAGGGGATCCCACGGCAGAGACATGCCGCAGGGGGCCAGCCAAGTCAGGGGAGGGGTTGAGGATCACCCCGGCTCTGGTGCTACTTGGCATCCACCGGGCCAAGAAGTCCGCCTGAGAGTAGTGGAGCTCGGCCGGAGATGACATGATGACCGCGATGGTTCAGGCAGGGTTTGCTAATCCGGGATTTGAACGACAGAGGTGACATTTTCAGGGTTAATCAGGCCACAAATAAACACGCTCTGGATTCCAAGAAAACTATACATAGAGGCCGTTAGACGTTTAATTAGTCATCTTAAATCAATTCAGGCTCAAACCACATCAGCAGAGGAGTGTCGGTTTTAAATATTTGGTTGGTAACAGCAAACTAAACATAACCGAATATGAAAACCAAACGGTTGTATCACTTGACAATAAGTTTATGACACGTATCTCACAGTTTAGCTAATAAATCTGAAAGTGCTTTAGTGCGTTTTTAACCAAATGTCGTTGAATTTAAATAGCTTGGCTTCCCCTGTTGATACTCGCAGTTTTACTTGAGTCACAAAAACTTATTAACTTACACCGTAGTGGCGATCTAATAAAGTAGCAACATTTATAAGCATGTCAAAATGCGGGATTTACCTGAAACACCGGAGAAAATCAATCTCTCTGCAGTGAAAGTGTGAAGAATACAAACATAACAGACAAAAGTTTCGAAGCCTGCCGCCATATCAAAACAAAGCCCGCGAGAGCTACAGAAAACAACGAAAACGTTCTAGTTGCATTGTGGGTAATGTGGTTCAGCAGTAGTTTTAAAATGGCGGTTTTTTAAATTTAATTTAAATATGCATTTTAGTTTTAAAAACGAGTATAATACTTCAGCTACGTCTAAAAGACACTTTTATTAAACTTAAAAGCGATGCTTGTATCAGATAACGCTTTGATTTAACCGCTTTTTGCAGAATATTTCACAATAAAGTTCAACAAGTTTATATAACCATGCGTATCGTTTAATACAAATTTTTAAAATAGCTAAATGTTATGGACTTCAAGAAATATGCTTCGTATATTATCATATGTTTTACTTTCACCTCAAACACAAAGGATCTTTATGAAATAATTTCGACGCTTACTTTTATTCTGACATTTCCTGATCACGTGGTCCTTCTGACAGCAACGATTGGCCGATACAAAAAAACTAACGACACATGATATACTAGCAACTGAAACCGAACTGAAGGTGTGTTGGGACAATGGAAAAGGTTTTGTGTAATGTCCACGGTAAGTCTTAAAAAGTTTGTGGTATTTCATTGTTCGTTATAAGATAGAGACTCATTACATTTTGTGTGTACTTACTAGAAGTTCTATTTATGTCTCGTTACTTGAAACACTGCTTGTCATGTGCATGACACACTCATATGACAAGGCAGTTTACTTGAGCTATTTCTTACATTTTACCGGCACCTTACCAAAAGTATTTCCCTTCTAGTGAGGTGAAAGTTTACATCATTGACTAAATATCGCTGTCCTCACACAGGCTCCGTGTGTATGTTGAAAACGGGAGTAAAAGATGGACCAAATAAAGGCAAGAGCTTCTACGTCTGCGTTGACAAGCAAGGCTGTGATTTCAGTCAAGAAACCAGGTATTCACATCACTATCCGGTCACCCACAAGGCGAGGGTGACATCCTCACAACCACCATAGTAGTGACATGCACTGTAAAGCCTCACTGTTGTCACAAATCTACAGGTTCCTCACGAAGGAAGCCTCGTGAATATTGTTGTCCAATCTTGGAAATGTCCAAAAATCTAGTACCTCAAAACAGAGACCACTCTCTTACACCTTAACATCTGTTTAGATCGTCACTATTCTGAGTTTGGATCCAAGAATAGCAGATGTTTTTATATAGACTTGATTTGGCAGCTGTCTCTATGGCCCATATTAAAATGGCTTTTATGGTTTTCATATTCGGGCAAAATCACTATTTAAAACAATGCAGTTAGTAAATTGCAAAGGCTGCAGTTTAAGACATACATTTGCAGCGTGTATGAGCTGTTTTTGTGTTTGTTTGTTTTTTTAAAAGTATATATATTATTAGTTTATTTAACTTGAGTGCCAACCTCTGTAATACTTAGATGCAAAGTCTGACCTTTGCCTTGAATGACCTACCTGTTTCAATGCCAGAGGCTTTTTACAGTAACTACTTTATTTTTATTTTTTTATTTAACACAGTCACAGGTTTTGTGATAATTATTCTATCTCTTATGCCATTTAATACTGTAATGAATTCTTGTTTGAAGCAACTTTAAGTAAGTTCCCATCCTTGCATTAGAATATACAGCAGGTTATAATTTGATGATGGCAATGCTCTATCATGTTTTACATCTATTACATAACTACTAACTATTGAACTGAAGCTTAAGGAAATGTATATCACATATCACAATATCTCTTTAGAAAATTACAGTTGGATATTTTCCCCTAATTGTTCAGGTCTTATTCGTACCAGTAGTCAGTTTAATTCTACTTTGCAAAATTAGTTGTTGGGTTTTTTTTGTTTGTTTTGTTTTGTGTGTTACTCAGATTGTTGTTCCTGTTTGTAATCTGAATTATCATTATCTCTTCTCTAGCGTCTCACCTTCTCACTGCCTCCATCATGAAGATGCAATGGTGGAGCTCCAAGCTCTCAGCTACAGTCAACAGCAGCAGGGCCACAGGTGGGTGTGCAGCTGCTTTAGTGGTCCAAATCAGGAAGAAATTTCTGTTGTAACTAATACAGCTTACACAACACTTAATTAAACTTCATTCCTGTGGAGGCTTTACATTTAAAGTAATAAATTAAAGCCCCTTTCAGACATGCATTTGGCTTCATGTCTGGCCACTTATCTGAAAAGTCTGGATGGAAATTTTATTCGATCGGACCTAGTAACGTTTCCGTATCACTTTCAACACAGCAACTCTATGATATTGCATTAACAGAGAAGCACATTCAAGCAACGTACTTTGATTTGAGGAAGGCTTTTTCCCCATGTTAGCACCAGTTTTGGTCCAAAAACATCACTGACAACGGCAAAATGGCCAAAATTCAAAAAACACCCTTCTTATTTACTTTACCCTACTTTTTTTTTTTTCCACATCTTTTAAGAATTGAAATTTCTTTGAAAATACAACTTTACTGCAATGAAGACAAGTTGGACTAATAAGACTCACCAATAATGAATGTAATCCAGGTTAAAACATTAAAGGGAGCTAAAGTTTAGTTTGTTGCTTCCAGCTGTTTGTAAAAGTCTTTCCTCTGAGTTTATCAAATACCTGTTCAAACTGCAGCAGGATGCATGTCCAAAGACAGTAAGTTGAGCATATTTATGCAACTGGAGCAACAGAAGTTGAAATTGTGAAGTTTCCTTGACATGAAGACGTCATCGGTCAGGATGTAACTCAAGTCACACTGTGTTATTCTTTACCTCACACAGTTTAACTGTCACATACGGAGTGACAGTTCATCAGCGGCAGTTAAATAATGTGTTACGTAACGGATTTTGATTTAATTTTGGGTTCATTAGTGTATTAATATGCAATTACACATCACTTGATGTGGTGTCCAATCTCCTATGTATGACAAAGGGGATGTATCTCTGAGTAAAGCTGAGAGGAACATTAATGGAAAAGTGACCTATAGTATGTCTCACTGACAGAAAGCCATCACTTTAACAGATCAATGAAGGCAACAACGTATCCTATGTAATATACCCAATGTAGCTTAAATTTTTTCTCTTTTTTTCCAGGTTGTTCTACCGATGTATTATGGGCAAAAAAACAGGCCAGAGATGGTGTGGAAACGTGCCTTGGACCGCAGTAAGACCTACCACAGATTTCACCATGCATATAGTCAATTTGAGTTTTATTTTTTCATTATTATTATTATTGTTGTTGTTGTTGTTGTTGTTGTTGTTGTTGTTGTTGTTATAGGCAACAGTCGATTAAATGAGTACTCCTTCAAAAATAATTAACCAGAACTATTTTGATAACAGATCAATAGATTACATCTTTTTTTTTTTAAAAACAAAATTTGACAGTTTAATATACTAAAGGTAAAAATGTAATGCTTTCTTCTTGACTTTTTGTCTTAAGAAACAAAAGTTTTAATTGATAAGAAAATAAACTGCGGGTTAGACACTTGTCAAAATAATCATTGCTTGCAGGTGTGTAATCTGTAAGAAATGTAAATAGATATTTTTTCTAATTCTAAGTAGTGTCTGTATAGTATGTAATTTTTACATATAAACATGCCTATACATTTTACTTTTTTGTTTTGCGTCACTTTCTTTAAAACTGCGTTCTACCCATTTTTTGAAAAATGTCTGTTCTCCTTCATAGTTGCAGCCAGAGAAAGAAAAGAGAAGCCCTTTATCCGATGCACAGCTGCAGCCCTCCTGTCTTCCACCTGTCCGAAATCCCTTTAAGGCCCCTGGCAAGACAGATAAGGACTCTGAGTGGAAAAGGATGCAGTGTGGTGGACGTGAGGAGAAAGACAGTGAGGCAAGTCACAAGGCTGAAGAAAGAGAAAGCTATCACAAAGAGAATGTGAAGAATGTGAGTGCAGTGAGAGAAGAAGATGAAGGAAAGCTGAAGTCGTCAGATACTTACCGAGGTAAACAACTTCCGCTGGGGATGAAGTTAAAGAAGAGAGTTTCAAATGAGGACAGCAGCAGTCCCAAAGCAAATAATGTGGAGAAAACATTAGATAAGATACAAGACAAAGAAGAAGAGAACCACACTGAGCAGGGAGAAGCAGAAAAAAAGATTTCTACCTCCAGCATCAACACTGTTCACCCTGAGAAAATCAATGAAACTGCACCAGATCGTCACAAGAACTCACCCCAGACACCAACAGAAGGTGAAGCCTGTCTGGTGAAACAAGCTGACCCCACAGTGGAAAAGAGCACACCCAAATCTGCACCCAGCAAACAGGCTTCCACAGACTCTGATAACACCAGGAACCCCTCATCTGACAAACCAACACTGCCAGAGTCCAGTCAAACCAAAAACCACCAAGAGGGTGATGATGATGATGATGCTGATGTAGTGCTGGTGTCAGTAAAACCTGCTGCTTCGAAAACTCCTCCTGTTTCTGCCGTCCAAAAGACCCTGACCACCTTCCCTGGGTTCCAGCCAGCATCTAAGGTCAAGGATCAGGTGGAAGATCCCAGAGGGCTGCATCGCCTGCTCACCACCCAGCTGCAACAGAAAAAGGTGGGTTAATAGTCAAATCCATTTGGCTGCTATTTTTCTTCGGTAGGCGTCTATTGTATGGATTGACCAATACTGGTTTTCCGCGGCCGATACTAATGCCGCTTCTAATCGATCAAACAAAACCTGTCCGTCATAACTAGGCTTCTTCATTAATAAGGGTGACTTTAACTAAATATGTACAATAGAAATAGGAGTGATTAAATTAGAATGCTGTTTATGTGGGATCAACTGAGATTAATCAGTTTGTCTCCTGCTGTTACTGCTGCTGTTCTTCTCTATTTTACTAATCTTTCTCTGTTCTGTCACTTTTATTACCCACTAAGGTCTACATATTAAAGCATTATTAATTACTGTTTTCCAGACTCTGTTTCAGAGTAAGTTGTGGCTGCCTTCTAACTTAGCCACTAGCCGTTAGCATAGCCTTAGCCACTGTGAGTGTAGCTAATCATCAGCCAATAAGAATAAAAATACAGATAATTGCAAAAATACTCAATGTCAGCCAGGATATTCAGCCAGGCCTGTAATCAGTCTATCCCAAATCTGTTAAGTTTGCAGCCTTGATACTTGGTATTGCAAATGATTGAGACAGAGTTTTACCTTTTTTTATGTTTTTCAATGTATCGATTTGTATTTGTATCTGTTTTTCTATTTCTTACTGCTTATCTTTCCCTGTGAAGGCCACTCTGTCTGTGGTGAATGTGGCAGCTCTGCCAGATAAAGGAGAAAGGCTGAAGACGCAGGTCAAAGAGCTGGAGGAAGCGCTGGAGTCGCTGAGCCTCACTGTTGCTACTCAGCCTGGTAAGAGTTAAACTCCATCCATCCATCCATTATCTATACACCACTTAATCCTCACTAGGGTCATGGGGGGCTGGAGCCTATCCCAGCTGACGCAGGGTGAAGGCAGGGGGACACCCTGGACAGGTCACCAGTCTATCACAGGGCTACACATAGAGACAGACAAGAGTTAAACTGTTGGGTAATATGTATTTTTTTTAAGATTCCACTCCATCCAGGTCTTTTTCACTTATCCCTCTGGGACTCCCAGTTTGACTTCTGGGTATGGGTTCATTGTAAAAGTCTGACATTGTGTAGAGGACATCCAGCCTTGTTCACAAGAGAACATTTAAAGCTTTATTGTGAAATAAATATAGTAAAATTTGCATTCATTTCTGTCTGTGCTCACTGTAATGTAAAAATCACTTTCAGAGTCCCAGAGTGGATGTAATAGCAGTGATTCTGGTAAAAGCAGCACCCAGATGAACCCATTCAGTCGGCAGGGTGGCACCATCCTGCTCCCTGCTCCCCCAGCGCAGGGCCCCTCTCAGCACCAGGCGTCTGGCAGCTCTTTGGGGCTCCAGCTGAGTCAGGGATACACCCAGATGTATGGAGGTAGGCCAAATGGACAGGATGAACACATTTATGCAAATGTTGCCCTCTCACCAAATTGATTTGTGCTTCATACATGCATAGTAAATCCGTGGTCCTTTATGTTTCCAGCAAACCCACAGGCACAGGCCTTTTATGGTGGCAGGATGACTGAGGACCGTCTGCTGGCGGTGAAAAATGCCACCTGTGAGGCCATTGACCATCTCCATAAATCTCTGGAGTCGTGTCCCGACGCTGAGGCCGAAGCCAGAGACCCCAAAGGCATTAAGGTTAGACTCTCCTTCACCCACTAGTCTGCTTTTTCATTCACTCTTAGAGTTGAACACCACTAATACAATATGACAAACTTTCAGGGAACGATGCATCTCATTCATGATTGACACTCCCATCCACACACTTTGCTGTTAAAACATGACAGTTCCCCAGACTCAAAATCATTTCCTTAGAAAAGTGGTTTGCACAGAGCCCTGACCTCAAACCCATCCAACATGTTTAGGATAAATTAAATATGTGTACTGAGCCTAGGTTTACTTCCCAGTGTCTGTGGACATCAATACAGTTCTTAGGACAAAGTCGCTGTAGCCAGGTTAAAAACTCAGATTGAAAGCCTGAAAGCAGCAGATTAAGGCCCATGTGTTTTAATTAGCATGTTCTAAAAATCACATATTTAGAATCTTAAAGTGTCACATATACAAACATAGTGTATTCACTGTCTTTTGAAAGCTGTTATTTTTGCTGAAAATGTTTGGACAGTTTGTATTGGACAGAGCCTTTGTGTCGTCTTTTGATCAGACTCCAATATAATTGCCCTCTTGTGATTGGCCGATCAGGTGCCGCTCCTGGCCCATCAGAGGAGAGCTTTAGCCTGGCTGCTCTGGAGGGAAACGCAGAATCCCTGCGGAGGAATTCTAGGTTGGTTCATAAATTATTTATGCATGGTCTTTATTCAGGGGTTTACAGTGAAATCTGATAAGAAAGGGAGTGTGGAGTAAAGACATGTACTATAATAGTTCAAACTGATATTGTTTGTTCCTGTTCCTCTTTGAAAATCCAACCTGTACTCCATTTTTAAACATTTTTAGAGGTGGAAATAAGCCACTGAGGTGTATTTATTACAGAAACCTCAATTTCCACCCTATTTACCACAGGATGTGGCTTCCTCAGCTGTTATTTAGGCTTGTACAGAATGTTCAAATGTAAAAATAAATCAGGCCAGTCAGTTTGATACATTGTAAATATTATTTACTGTGCACATTAACCCATTGACTTGACTGCACATGTTGATTTACATTACCGCTGTATGATCATTAACATTAATGAATTGTAATAAATATTCTTTGAGTTTATGATACTGTAGCACACTCTTAACTTTCACAGGAATCTTATTTAAATTGTTTTAAGTATGTATGTCTGGGATCTCTCTGTGTTGTTGGCTGTCTTAGCTAAAAAGATCTTACATAAGACAATTTAAATCTTAATGAGCATTTAATAACGAATGTTGGCATAACAAAGAGATGAACTGTGTCTGTAAAGTGTCACATTGCAGTTTCTTTTTTTTTTTTTTTTTCTTCTTATACTTTTGATCTGACTCGTATTCTGTTTGGATTCAGCGGATGACATGGGTCTGGGAAAGACCTTGACCATGATTGCTCTCATTCTGGCCAAGAAGATCAAGGCAAAAGAAGATGATGAAAAGAAAGAAGAGAAGAAGCTGGAGACCTGGATATCCAAAACTGGTAGCCAGAACCTTTTGGTCATAGTTTTATTGGGTCAAATAAGACACGGCTAGGTTGCAGCTTGCATTGATATGACACAATACCTGTTTTTTTTTTTTATGTGTTTTATTTGCCTGTTTGTTGTCCAGACTCGTGCCTTGTGGTTTCTAAAGGCACTCTGATCATCTGTCCTGCCTCCCTGATTCACCACTGGAAGAAGGAGATTGAAAGACATGTGAAGACAGGCAAGCTGACAGTGTACCTGTATCACGGACCCAACCGTGAGAGAAGTGCCAAAGTGTGAGTGAACCGTGCAGACGTCTAAAAATAAAAAAATACCCACCACTGCTGCTATTTCTCCTCTGTATTATGCTTCTGTTTCACTAACAGTGCAATCATAGCCTCTTCTCTCCTTTACAAGTGCCCACAGAAATACAATAGTGACTTCTAACTGAGTGGCACGTTGCAAATGAGTTGTTCAAGAAATGTCAGGTTTAAAATCTAATCATTTTCTTTGTTGCTTAAGTTTCTATCCCTGATAAAAGATGTGGCTTTGGTGATTTTGTAAAGACAGTATGCTTTCAAACCCCCCAGCAGGTTTAATTTCAGAAGGTTGTACAGTATATGCTCTGTAAATACACTTTGTTTTATATCAGTCATTGATATTAAACTGTCACCAAGCCCTGATGTTCAGTCCATTTAATGGTCGCAAGCTGAAGCCCTTAGAATGATGAATCTATAACTATAGGGAGAGTTGTGTATGTGCTGGAAAAGTGTGTTCTCTTGAGATTTTTGAGTGTCGAGTATCTATTGACATTCATAATGAATACTTCCCAGATCTTCATTGACCTGCCATTCTTCCAGTTTGGAAGACATTTGATACACACAATCTAACTACAGTATTCTGTGTCTGCTCCTCAGACTGGCAGATTACGATGTGGTGGTGACCACATACAGTCTGGTCTCTAAGGAGATCCCAGTCCAGAAGGAGGAGGCTGATAAACCCAGCAAGGATCCTGATGATGTGGTAAATATAAATCGTATTTACGACAGAAGGCAACATCTGTGAGTGTAGCATTTATTCACAAATACAAAGTTATGCTAATAATGCAGGCTGATGATACATTTGTTTTTTTAGATTTAAAAAGTGTGTGTTTTATGATTTCAAAACTAAAAAACTTAGACAAACACACACTTCATGACATTTTTCCTCAGCCTTTACACTCGCCTCCTCTTCTGCGAGTGGCCTGGGCCCGGGTGATTCTCGATGAGGCCCACAACATCAAAAATCCAAAAGTGCAGACTTCCATGGCTGTCTGTCAGCTGAGGGCTGGAGCCCGCTGGGCTGTCACTGGTACACCGATCCAGAACAACCTGCTCGACATGTATTCACTGCTCAAGTAAGAAAAAAACAATATGAAACTTTGAAAAATGCTACCTGGCTGAACTGCTTCCTCTGTTGTGTCTGCATGCTCGACGTGTGGTTCTCAAATTCTAAAAACAAATCTCATGAATAAATCATGCAAGCAAGACAAAAGCTACAATGAAGCAGATAATAAATGTCCATATGATTAATTCATTATCTATTTAGGTGGAAATTTGACTACAGCTGATTTGGCTTTGTGTTGAATGCATGTGAGTTTTCTCACAATTCAGGAGTTATGAGATGAAAGGTGGTTTAGAAGTGGCCACAAGGTCACACTAACTCATCTCAGTTTTACAAAATAGGTTGTAAATTCGCATTTGAAAAAAGAAAAGGCTCAAATTCAAGGATGTTTATTCATAAACCTATTCCAAGGCAACATTTGCTCATGTTTTCCAGAGCCACACTGATGAATGAATTTGTGCTTTTTCATTGATAATACACAAAAAATGATTCTGACCCTCAAGTCTTTTTTAAACTGCTAATATAACTGCATCTTCATTGCAGTCAAGTTAAGTACAGATGAGATTCTGTTTATTCACCATTTTGTCTTTCAGGTTTCTTCGCTGTTCTCCGTTTGATGAGTACAAACTCTGGAAAGCTCAGGTGGACAACGGCTCCAAGAGAGGCAGAGAGAGACTCAACATCCTGACAAGGACGCTGCTGCTCCGACGAACCAAAGACCAGCAGGACTCCAAAGGAAAACCACTGGTAGAGACACACACTCACAGAAGGAAACACTGGAATAGGTTGTAAATATTGGAATAGGAAAGGAAAGGAAAGACTTGGACTTAGACTGACTATTAATCCCAGAGGGAAATTCAGTCGTTACAGCAGCAATATTCAACAAAGGGGTAAACAAAGCAAAAAGACAACACAGAATATTAGGGTATAAAAAGAAGGTTAAATAAAGTAAAAATAAATAAGATAAAAATATAGAAAATATAATATAGAACAAGTCAACAAGTTTACAAGAATATATAAGACAGATACAGAAATGTGCAGATGAACAGAATATGCAAATGTGTAAATGTAGATTGAAGCATTAAAAGTCTCATTGCTGTCAGGAGGAATGACCTCCTGTAACGTTCCTTGGAGCAGCGGGGTTGTATCAGTCTGTTGCTGAAACTGCTCCTCAGATTGTCCACAGTTTGATGGAGGGGGTGCGAGGTGCTGTCCATGATGACCTGCAGTTTGGTCAGCATCCTCTGCTCCACCACCTCCTCCAGGGTGACCAACTGACAGCCATCAACAGACTGGGCTTTCCTCATGAATTTGTTCAGTCTGTTGGCATCCTTCGCCTTGATGCCTGCGCCCCAGCACACCACAGCACAGAAGATGGCGCTCGCCACCACAGACTGATAGAACATCAGGAGCATGCAGTTGCATTCATTGGAGAACCTGAGCCTCCTGAGGAAGTACAGTCGGCTCAGGCCTTTCTTGTAGATGGCCTCTGTGTTGGTGGACCACTCCAGCTTGTTATCTAGACTCACACCCAGGTACTTGTAAGTCTGGACAATCTCAACATCAGTCCCGTTGACGCACAGAGGAGAGGGTGGTGACTTGTTCCTCCTGAAGTCCACCACCATCTCCTTGGTTCCTGTATTCATCCTCCCTCCTGTTCTTCACACAGCCTACTATGGCCGTGTCATCTGAGAATTTCTGCAGGTGACACGACTCAGTGCTGTACTTGAAGTCCGAAGGGTAGGTGATGAAGACGAAGGGAGACAGCGCAGTTCCCTGGGGGGCCCCGGTTTTGGAAGTCAGACATTCAGACACACAGACTTCACATACCCTGGTTTTAAGATGCAACTGAAACACTGGCTTAAGTGTTTACTTGTTACATGTATTTTTATCTGTATGTCATCACTTGAAATGATTTTGTTTTTGTTACCTGTCTGGGGACTAAGAGCATAAATGTTTGATTTTGCTATAATCTGGCTTGTTTACATCTTTTATCTTGTATTTTTATACTGATGTTCATTAATGCACAATGCTCCTAGTAAATTTCTAAAAAAAAAAAAAAAAAAACAAACAAAAAACACCTCTCTTAATGGTAACATACCAGTGATTGATTAATTTTTTTTTTAAATGATGGCAGAGTCATCATGGCTGCTTAGAGTTTGTTCAGCCACTGAATTTGTATGTTGGTTGATTCAAATCAATCGTGACTGAAGTGAAGTGTTGAATGTTTCAGGTGTCTCTTCCTGACCGGACCTGTGAGGTGCATCAACTCAAACTCTCTGAGGATGAACAGTCTGTGTACGATGTGGTCTTTGCCCAGTCCAGGTAAAATAACATCTTGCCTTTTTTTTAAAAAGAAAAAATGCTGTTGTCATTGCATGTAACTGTCAATGCTGTACATTTTTAGTGGTTTGTATTCTTATTGTGTGTTTTGTATTTGTCTATTTTTTTAAATTTCTGCAATTCAGTTTTTATCTCATATTGTCATTCTTGCCTGTTGCTAATTGATTTTTAGCAAATTGAAAGGGTGGAATGATTAAACAAAAGATTAAAGGGAAAACAAATCATTTTATCTTTTCCTAGTCTTTTATAGAAGATTTATTTCTTATTCTAAATTTGCTAAAGAAAGCTGGTTTGATGCTTCCCTTCCAATCTCCTTCAGCTTAGGAAACATAACCATGGAGAAAAGGAAAAGTGTGACTATCCTCCACTTAATTGTTTCAATAATGTTTTAAAGACAACATGTGATTTATTAGCTTTCAATAAGCTGTCACCATGTGCTGTTGTGTTAATTAACTTTTCTGAACAACTTTGGACACATCATGCACAACTTCTTTTTTTTTTTTACTTTCTGATGATTTCCATCAAGGATTTTGAAAAGTGTCTGAGAATGAAATAAGGATCAATCAATAGGACCTTGACGGGTAATTTTAGATTCCAGTTGGCGAAATCTAGGCAGCGAAGAAATAACTACTCACCTTTTAAACTTGGCACTGGTTATAAAATACTGGCTTGCTGTTAAGTCTTCCTTTATGTGGTAGAACAACTATTTAAGAAATGTAAAAATGACACTGGACTGGTGATCTGTTTCTCTAGATCTACTCTGCAGAACTACCTGAAGAGACATGAAGGAAATGATGTGAACAAGGGAAAGACTTCCAGTTCCAATCCTTTTGAAAAAGGTAAAATATCAGCTTGCTGTTTCACCATTTTTTCAAAAGGAATAGTGCTCTGATTGTTGTAACAGGTTTGACTTATGGGTTTATATTTGTGGCTCAATTATGCACACAGAATCACTTGACTTCTGTTTTGTGGATTCAAAAAAGGTGAATCAAAGAAAGATTTTTAGAAGAGTTTTATTCAAGATTGGTGTTTTCTGGAAAGTTGTATGTTGAAAGTTTGTGTAAAATACACAGAGCATAAAGTAAGAGAACAGAGAATTTCCCATTTGGGGTAAATCAAGTCTGACATTTTTGCCTTTAAAGTCAAACTTGATAAGTAATCAGCGTTGTTATTACTTATTAGTGTGTATCAGCGTTTGTGTTCCTTCTGTCCAGTGGCCCAGGAGTTTGGAATGTCCCAGGCCGACCCGGCTGTGTGCAGCTCTCAGCAGCCCGCACAGGCGTCCAGCACCGTCCACATCCTGTCTCTGCTGCTGCGCCTCCGACAGTGCTGCTGTCACCTCTCACTTCTTAAGAAGGTAAACACACTCACATGTTTTCCAACCGGTTTTCTACCAGTGGCCATCAAACTTTATTGCTGTGTTCACACCAGACGTGAGTAAAATCATCCACGCGAATGATTTACATGTAAAATCAATGTGAAGACGCGATTAGACACGAGTACACATCCCACTGTGCGAATGATGGGATTGAGTGAGTTATTCGCGTGAATTAGCGTTGGACGCCCAAGCTGAAAAATCTGAACTTTAGCGATCTTTCGCCCCACGAAGGCCAATCAGCGTTGAGATTCTCTGGTGACGTCAAGAACATGATTCATTCATTTCTTTGCACCTACACCGTGAATATTGATTGATTTTCTCACCAGAGACAGATGGACAGGCACTCTGCAGCTGGGATAGAGCACCTGTATCCTGGTACTGATCCTCTCCAACAAATTGTCAAACTGTGCCAGGTCAGCCGAAAATAGCGCTGGAAACGGCTGTCATCCAGGCACAGCTTCTGGAGAAGGTGGACCCAGACATGGCAGCATCTGGATTCGAATCCAGACATGAATCTCGCCACCTTAAACGCACGAAAGACGCAAATTACTTGCACGAATGAAGCAAGTGAACTCAGTGCATACACGTGTCCGAATCGCGCAAATAGCACGATGAATTCGCTTCTGGTGTGAACACAGCACACTCCCCCTTTCTGCAGGAATGATAGCTAAATCATCAGACACTTCTAAACAGTGATATCAATATCATTGCAATATTACTTTTCTCAATACTTCCTGCAATATCAGTTGCCGTTTAGTGTTTCGTTTCATGTGCAATATTTCATATTTTAATTTCTCAGGTGCAGGCTTTCAGTTTTAAGTGTAGTATTTCGTTATCACATCTAAACCTTTTATTTTCATTGGCAGCATTTTGATAAAGTGCAGTATTTCACTTTCATGTACGACATTGTCAATGTAATGTGCAATACTTAATTTTAGCTAATTTCTCAGGTGCGATATGTCATTATGTGTAGTATTACTTATTACCTCAGTGTAATTGACAGTACTTATGTTTTATTCTAGCCTTATTTTATTCACTAGTTTTATTTCAGTATTGTATCACTTACATCCTGTTGCTTTTCTACTTTATAAGCACTGCAATTCTTGTGTCATTTTGTTTTTTCTGAAATACATCTGGCACAGGGTGTTTCTATCTAACGTATCTTATGTTCTGACAGGGCTTGTCCTTCATGAAAAACACATGCACAGACACTTAACTTCACACGAAGACCAACTGCATAATACACAGATGCATTAATTAATTTCCCTCTTCGTCTCCTCCACTCTGTTCAGACACTCGACTCCACAGAGTTGCAAGGTGATGGGATTGTTTTGTCTCTGGAGGAGCAGCTCAATGCTCTGTCGCTCTCCTCCAGCCCCTCATCGGGTCCCGATCCTAAAGACACTGTGGCCCTTAATGGAACCCGTTTCGCCTCAAAGCTATTTGAAGACACCAGTGAAAGCACCAAGGTGGGCAACAGCTGTGCCCATGCACCTAAGCATTACTGTTGAAAATGTTTCCTGCAGGCTGTTAGCAGTAATAAGAGATTGAAGTAAAATAGAAAAATCAATCTGTTCTGAATATTGCAATTATTTTTATTCACCACAGACCAATAAAGGAAAAGCAACAAGTGACTTTAATGGCAGGAAAAATGGTTGAAGTCAGGAAAAGTCACAGGTTATTTAAAGGGTCTGGACTTGACGTAACTAATTCAACTTGTTTTTGTTGCAATTTTTACAATCTTACTTTTCTGTTGAATAAGTTTTCTAACTTGTTTTATCTAATTTGCACTTTGTTATTTTTCCCACAAGGTTGTACACAAGTAAGGTTATTGTTTTAGATTAAGATTAACATTTGAACTATATCATTTTTCTTTGAATGTCCAGATTTCTGCTGTTGTCTCCGAGCTTAAGGCAATCAGACAGAAGAGTGATGATCAGAAAAGGTAAAACAACATTACAGAATCACTTTACATGCAGTTTTTTTCTGTTAATATTCTATATCTGCCTACGTCAACACATTTTAAAAAAATAAAAATTTTAAATCCATCTCAACAAATGTCCAGACATTAGCTCTGGTCACACTTTTGACTATGTCATACCATCTTCCTCAGCAATTGCAGTGACCCACTTTTCATCGCTGCTGAGGAAAAGAGTGTGATCGTCTGTTTGCGTCACACGTATTTACCTTTTGTTGTGCAGCTCTGTACAAATGGTCTTTTAAAGGAAGTATAAAATAACTGACCTGTTAAACTGCAAGTGACTTAAGAGAAGCATTTGATCTTGTGTTCTAATCCACATGTTGTCTCCTGTCTGGTACTTTAGTGTAATCGTGTCCCAGTGGACCAGCATGCTGCACATTGTAGCTGTTCATCTGCGGCAGTTGGGCCTGAGATATGGAGTTATTGACGGGACTGTCAACCCTAAACGTCGCATGGACCTGGTGGAAGAATTCAACACTAATCCTAAAGGACCACAGGTGAATCTTTCTACCTTCAGAACAAATTACACAAGAAACACCTGTTACTATTTTTAAGATGGTTATTGTGTATTTTATTAAAGGTAAGAACACCACATAACATTAAAACCTATGAAAAACTGTATTAAACAGAAAATATTATGTTTTTGTGGGCTATTTGCTTTCGTTTATTGTGTTATGGCATTTCTGTGCATGTAAAAGGTCTTAAAACTTAGAATACACAAAATCCACACCAAAGGGAATTATTATTCTCTCCCACAGAAAACATTGCTTCTTACCTGACCTAAACACCTTGTTTAAAGTCTAAGCCTATCTTCCGTTACTTATTGACTTCACTGTGTAACACTTTTGCATATCGCCTGCAGTGTAACTAGTTTGGCCACGCTCTCAAATAAAGATTGAGCAGTTTGCTCGCAGTCCAGCTGATCAGATGTTCAGTATGAGAAATATAATGTGTATTTTGAACACTAAAGCATGTAACATAGTCTATTAGACTCAAAAAATAAAATGATATACCTGTAAATGTGCATGGAATGAGCTCTTTAAAATTTTGTAAATACCGGCAATATTCATGAAATGCATCCTGGGAAGTTTCTGATCTGCGTTAGCACTGAAGAGCTCATTGTTTATGAGCTAGCTTAGTAGATTTGTTTTATACATATGCATGATTATGTACACACATGCACATAGGTGCTGCAATGGCTGTGCAAAAACAACTAGACATGATAAAAATTCCTTAAAAATAAAAATAAAAAGTCATAATGAGGCACAATGAGACTGTGAAACTCAAGTACAGTGTTCATTGTGCAAGAGTTCCAGCCCTGTGTGTTATGTTTATGCATACATCTATATGTTATATACATATTTACATTGTGCCAGTGTGCTGTGTGCCAGTGGTTTCTCAGTGCTGGCCTACATGTGGCCACGATGCACCAAGACACACAACAATGTGCCAGCAAAGGCAGGGAAGAATAATGCATGCTAGTAAGCATGGATGTATAAAAGGGTGCTTTTTATTCTGCTAAAGTATTGTCTCACTTCCCTCACTTACGTCTTAGCTCCTCTCAGTGAAGATGTGAAGTAGGATACAACTGTATTTCCTCGCTATACCTCCTCATTTCCACCAAGTGTATAAGGATTGGAACATCCTCTATGATGGTGGAGGGGGAACTGGAGAGGAGGTTCTGGGTCACGAGTAGGAGAGGACACGAGGAAATATAAATTATAAGTTAGCATAATTACAAGCGCCCTAATTGCTGCCAAATATTTCTGTGACGGATATGCTTTCAACAGATTTCTCTTACCCCTAGGGAAAACACACTGGGTGATTTGAGTAAACAGTAGATGTGAATGTAAATTGTATTTATTTACAAGAAAATGTCCTGTGGCTCCTTTAGGATAAGAATGCAACAACCCTGCATTTGCAATAATGATCATTTAACAAACGTTTTTTGTTTTGTTTTTCAAATGTATGAGGCCAAAATATAAAGAAATGTGATTTTAATGCCATTGTTTTTTCACACAAATGACACAGGTGATGCTGGTTTCCCTTTGTGCTGGAGGGGTTGGACTCAATCTCATCGGTGGAAATCACCTCTTTCTCATTGACATGCACTGGTGAGAGGCACAAAACTAACAGCAAATTATTGCGGCTGTTTGCTTCCCCCAGCTTGATATGGCTAATTTAATGCACCGTATGTCTTTGAAGTAAATATCTTTTATTAATTTTTATGTAATTGTTCTTAAAATACCTTAATCTCCTTTTCTTACTCATTATTTGACCTTCAGCTGAACATCACATCATCATCTGTCTCTTCATCTTCTTACATTGTCTCAATTTTAACTTCACATTGAGCATTTTACAAGCAAAAGAATCAACATTTAAAGACATTACAACCATTTTACACTGTGTAAAAATGTCATTTTCAGCCCACTTAAACATTTTTCAAAATGATTTGCCAGTTATATTTTGCATGAATAAATGTAGAAAAATCCATTTCAAGAACAATAACTTAAAAAACAAAAAAATCTTGTTCACACGCTTCTCTGATAATGTTTGATGCAGTTGGCGGAACAATTAAAGGTTAAGAAATGTTGGTGTGATCAGTATAAGAAAGAAGTTTTTTAAACTCTGACCCCTAAATGCTCTGACAGGAACCCAGCCTTGGAGGATCAGGCCTGTGACCGAATTTATAGAGTTGGACAACGTAAAGATGTCACCATCCACAGGTAACCTAATGATCAGAATGTTTTATATGTGTGTGTGTGTGTGTGTGTAGAAACTATTGTTCTCTATCACATCAAGCACTCTTGGAAAAGGACGGTACTTAGACAAAGTGGCACACAATAAGTGACAAGATACAACACCAGAATACAATTAAATTTGAATTTCTTTGCCATGTCAGCAAGAAACCCGCAAGACATAGTTCTAAGGTTTATTCTGGGTGAAATGGTTCATAGACGGCTCCGAATTCACAAAACTTACTCCATGTGCATTGTTATTGTTAGTTTCTACATCTGAAGGCAGTGATGTGCCCTGTTTGTCATTAGAATATAAAAGTTCATTGTATTGGGTTTTGTATTTTGCCTCCAGGTTTGTTTGTGAAGGTACAGTGGAGGAGAAGATTTCCACACTACAGACGAAGAAGAAGGAGCTGGCCCACAATGTGTTGTCGGGAACAGGAAGCACCTTCTCTAAACTCTCCCTGGCTGACCTCAGAATCATTTTTGGTGTCTGAGACGGGAAAGTGCTGCTGCTGTGTAACTAACAGCTATTTATTCACATATACGTTCAGTATTTATGCAAGTATTAAGGTATATGTCTGGAGAAATCTTGAAATAGCCTCTTAAGATTGAGGTAAGAAATCACCTATATGTTAGATACTAGTTAGCATGACCTTATTTTTTGCTCTAAGCCAAAAATGGTGACCATTAGTTTATTTTATTCATTTTTAAAAAACTGTTCAGCCATTTCCTCCAGCAGAAACTGCAGCACTGCTGTTGGATTACTCTAAACAGCGGATTTGAGTTTGCTATCGAACATTTCCTGAGTTTTTCCTGAGAGAAGTTTCCTGAGACTGTAGATACTGTTAAAAGCAGCCAGAATTCAAATTCCTCAACTTGAAACGTGTGTATCCACACTAACGTCAACATGCATTTCATATATTCCCTGAGATGCTCTTTTTGTCTAGAATTATGCTTTATTACACATATTCCTGTGTTTGTGTCATATGCTACAGTAAGTGTGGCGGTATTTTTACATGTTTAAATATATCCTCTAAGATCATGTTTTATTTGTTTATTTGCAAATTTGGGGGATTTTCAACTGGGTATATATTATTTCTTTAAATCTGTGCCACCTGATGGAGTTTATTTCATTCAAATATGTTTTTATTTTTTCTTGTAGCTGTATTTATGTTGATATGATTTAAATAAATGCAGGTGAAGGAAGTTGTGGAAGTTAACATGAGAACTTGCTGTATTCAGTCCTTTGTGTGGTGAATTGAAATTTATTCAGCATTTTTGGGAATGAAGTCAGGATATATGTATCTCCTGATTTGGTTGTGTTGATGAAATACATTTCTGGCACTGAAGAATGGAAACATGGGTGGACATTTGGGTTAGTTTAAGTGTGTATGCTTAAATGAAACAACCGATATCTTATGCATTTTTAAGATTATAAATTGGTGTTAATGTGGATTGTCATATTTATCCACTGACTTATTGCGCTCACAGCAGTCCAACATGTCTTCAGATCTCCCAAGTGTTTGTTATATTAAAATCCAGTGGTTCGTGATGCCTTTAGGAAACCTCGGAATTTTGGGGGTAAACTCTACAACAAAGGCACAAAAGGCGGAGAATAGAATCTACACGTTGTAAAGTAGTTATTTTGAGCTAATTCCGTCTTTTGGTTTCTGTAGGTCCAAAATGGGTTTAGAAGAAGCTTAAAAAAAACTGTAAAACCCGGGTCAGACAGGTGAAACGGAGGTTTCCTGCTTTTAAATTGTTAATTTTCCATCGTTTCCGGTAACAAAAAAAAAATCTGTTTTTCAAAGTTCATGTTCGTGCTCGCGCTCACAAGCTTCGATAAAAGCTAAATGAAATTACTGAACACAGTCAATGTGATGGTGGTTTTGGTGGTTTTAGGGGCAGCACTTGAACGCGTCGTGGTGAGAGCGGGCGGTAGCTGGTACAACCCTCCGAGCTGCAGCAGTAGTGCAGTCACAACCGCCAGGTACACTAACGTCCTCTCTGTCAACAATACGAGCGCTGCAGCCGAACTAGTTCTTTTTTTTTAATAGTTAACCGGCACCGACCCGGAACCATGGAGGCTGAAACCGATAAAGTGGAGCCCGCGGACAGCGAGCAGGACGAAGAGGAAGATGTGTACGAAGTGGAGAGGATCATTGACATGCGGGTGGAAGAGGTAATGCTAGCTAACAGCTAAGTTAGCTCGGCAAACATGGCTGGCATTTCTTTCACTCCATTCTCACGACGCATAGCCCACCTACATCGGCGGACAGAGCCCCTTTGCTAATAAAACACCTCTCTTTGATGCATTTCAAGAGGTTTTTAATGCACCGGGTTCCTTTGGTGTCACTTAATTTGATGCTATCGGTGTTTTTTTTCCCGTCGCCGCTCGCCGTTTGTCCATACATAGCATCGTTTTCCAGCTCAACTTCTCCCATGATGTCCGCTCGCCTCTCCCCTGCTGAGGCCAAGGACGGACGCTCTGCAAGCTGGCAATTGTTTTCATCCCGGCCGTGTCTGGCCGGCGGCACCGCTCGAGCAGATAAATCCCGGGAATAGTGCGAGACTCAGTGCGCCTAAAACAGATTAAACAGCTGCAAGCACTGTCGGTTAATGAAGATTCTTGATGTGAATTCACTGCCGCCGGCTAACGTTATGTTAGCATTGTGGCCGTCTTATTTGTACCTGCACCAACCCACAAACTTGTATTTTTTTGACGTTTTGTGAATAAATAGAAAATTACCACAATGAATAGCAAAGAGCCATATTTACTATTACCTCACTTATGTTAAGGTGAGATGCATCTCTGCGAGTACATGATAAAGTACTTTTCTGACCTACTCAGTTAGTTTAGTACTTCATTTGACGTTTAAATGTAATTACATTTAAACAAAAATCTATTTGGTAACACCTCATTAATATTTAACAGCTTTGAAGAAGTGTAGTTCTTTATTGTTCTCACTAACAAACTAAAATACAAAGTTTGTGAGGTGAGAACTTGATTTATCATTAGCAGCCCCCCAAAACGTGACCACTGTCTTTTACGCAAATTAAACACGTTACAGTGTGACACAATAATAACAGAAGACAACAAAACTGCAGTGTGCATTCACTTGTGTATTATTTATGTAGGAAATGACATATTTATGTTGATAAAAGTGGTCTGGTAGTTTATGTTTGAATACATGTAGGTTTTTAAAATAAAAATATACCTTCATAATTATATTAAAAAAAACAACAATACACTATGAAGGCTGCTGTTGGTTGTAAGTGACAGCCCAGTTAATCACCACTTCACTTAGTTTTTGTTTTTGCGCTCCTCATTCCTCCCTTTACTCCTCATATTTTAATTACAAAGTCATGCACGGTTGCAAGAACGTGCCACATTTTCACACTTAAATATTAACTTGCCCTTTACTTGAGTGATTAGTAATAGTGTGTGAGTGGGGACAGGCTGGAGAGTAGTGTTTGTTTTGGTTTTTTGCTTGAGTGCCAGGGCTTGTTACAAAGGTTAAAGGAGGCTTCGCTTTCACTGCATTTGTTTGTGTCAGTTTACCTTGACTTTCAAAAGCAGGGTAGATGTGAATGTTTATTTATGGATTCAAAGGATTGAGGGGAAAAAATGAGACATAATCTACTTAATGTTTGAAAAACATTGACTGCTTTCTTGTTGAAAGTGCTGCTCAAAATTTAGCAATGTTTTGTCTAGCTGAAAAAGTAGAAGAGCAGCACAGTAAGCTGCATCATTTCTCCAAAAAACACTTACTTAAAGTGACGTCACCTCGCAAATTCCTACATGCAATTTATTTTTTTTAAGTACGATCTGGATTTAAATGCACCCAAACAGCATCAGTATCATTTAAAAACAGTTATGCAGGCCGAGGTGATGACTAACGAGTAGGACTCTTCAACCAAATAGTGTCATAAAGTGAATTAAGAGCTTCCAAGTTGGTTAGCATGCCGAACACATGATGAGTGTTGCACAGATAACGCCAATAATGGATTTAAAAGCCATTGTGTTGTAGTGAGTCATAAGGGACTGCCATGAGGTGCAAAAGACACGGGTCACATAGTCAAGGAGGTAGCTGTGTGAGTTATTATTAACACACTTTGCAATACTCCTGGCTTAGTGCTGCCCTTGCTTTGTGAAGTCTCTGGAGTCCTTCTGGTTTGTTTGTGTAGAAAACATCGAGGAGAGTGTAAACAGTCAGAGTCAGGAAGTAAAGCTGGATATATGGACTGTCTGAAGTGATGAACATTTCTTCCTCCTCCAAATTCCAGATGTCAGATGTTACACTAGTTTTGCATCTGTTTATGAATACGACCTAACAGTACGCTGTAACTGTCTGCATGGAGAGATTGTCTTGAAATGCACACATTTATTCCAGTTTTCCAGTTTATTACATCGCTCCCTCCCTCTGTTACCGTCGACTTCTGTCTTCTAGCGTGGACATTTGGATCCATTTTACATATATTGAATTTCCAGTATCTTGAAAAAAAACAACTCCATAAATTGACGCTAAGCTTGGTTTGCCGTTTGCTATCCAGAAAGAAGTAGCAATTGACTGGAATGTGTATATGTTGGTGCAGTGTTGTAGTGCATGTGAGGACAGACTTAGTATGAAAGATCAGAGTGTAATGGATAAATATTCAATGCTAATCACAATGCCATGAATGCATTTATTTGTGCTTTTATTGCTGCAAATACATGTTTGACTATGAGAGCACAAGACTTTACCTACTAGTTTCCTTGTTCTCAACTTTAAATCTGTGAAAAGTTAAAAACTGTGTTTGCAGCTCTACAGCAAGTAGATTTCCTTGTATGAAAATGATGTCGCAAGTAAAAAAAAAAAAAAAAAGAAGAAGAATAAGCATACATTTTTTTTTAAAAAGAAAGAGTTTTGCAGCTCTTCCTGTATAGCTCAATGACTGTCACTCAACACTTCTTCTGGTCACTTGTTGTTTCACACGTACTCAGCATTGTATTGTTATCTCTTGATAGATATGCTTTATCTTGGAGACTGCTTTTTCACTCAACAAAACAAAAGAAATCAGTCTGGGCAGTCCTGTAAATCAAACTGATGTAGATGTGTTGGTGCTCCCTTAATAGATGCTGGATCTGCAAGTGCATATTTAAGATCTGCTGTTTCAGTATGACAAGGTTCTGCACACTAAATTTTCCAAATTATAACTCTTTTGAGAAACATTACTGCATACTTCTACGCTAGAACTCCTGTACCTGGCAGTGACATGTTTTCCTGTCTTGCCCAGTTTTTTTTTTTCCTTTGTAGGAATGTTTGCAGTGTAGTTCAGGCCAGTAAACACCATATCTGCAATCTTCACTTATCAGTGTTGTCTTGTACTTTTTCTGTATGGCTATTCAAAATTTCGCAACAGCAGCTCAATGTGGCTTCAAGTGTTTTGCTTTTTCTCTCTAAAGAACTCTTTCTGTTGTCATTGTCAGGTTTTTTTTCCTGCATAGAGGAATTTTGGCACCCCCTAAGAGGTCTAGCCAGGGCCAAAAGAAATTCACCAATGTCAAAATGATGAGAATTGATCATAAAAAATAAAAAACAAGAAAAGGAATCTTTTAGTGTTAGCCTCACTAGTGATTGAATGCTGTTAGTATTGTGTTTCTGTTCTTGGATTGGAGTAGTTGGATAGTTTTATTTTGTTCTTCTTCTTCTGCACACAGTGGTGATCTTTAAACTCTAGGTTAGAGTCTCCTGTTCTCATTTTTCACAGCACTCATTTAGTCTTTAGTTGCCTCACTTTTGTTGTTTATTGTTAAATCTTTACTTTTGTTAATAAAAAAAAGCTTTAATTTACCTCACAACATCAGGGTTTTATGTTACTTCCCTTATCCCTAGTGAGCTGGTCGTAACATGAGGTCCATTTACTCAAGCGTAGTAGATGTTTATGTTTATCAAATGGTCAGAAATGATGGACAAAAATAACATAGATTTTTGCCAAATAAGGTAACAGATTCGTCTTTACTGTACATGAACCAATCATGCATCTGTCATCAGTAGTCACCCCCCAAATTCTTATTCTGACCCCAAAAAAACACTAAAAGTGTCATTTATTGTGAGTGCAATTGGTGAATCAAGGGGGGAAAAAAATCCACTATTCAAAATACTGATTATACATCCAGTCTGTCATCCACTTCTGCATGCGGACATCATCTGGAAATCTTGTGTTGTTTTGGAGGCTGTCGAAATAGTCAACAGTGAAATTCTGACAGCTGTCGGCCACTATGTCTTTCCAGTGTGGAAATAGTGCCTGAGCTTCATATCTTCTCTGTCTTGTTTTCAGGGTGAGGTGCTCTACAGAGTTCGATGGAAGAATTACTGCTCTGACGATGACACTTGGGAGCCAGAGGCCCATTTAGAGGACTGTCGAGAAGTCCTCCTGGCTTTTAAGAAGTCACAGGCTGAAGCTAAGGCCAAGAAGGAGGCAGAAGCTAAGAAGCCTGTGACAAGTGTAAGTGACAAAATACTGCTCATACCTTTAGCAATATTGCAGGTGTATGCATAATTTTTATGGAGCACAGTGCTAAAGGTGAATAATAAGAAACACTGAGTGAGATATATCCCTGAATGTATGAGGTGGTAGCACAAGATGATAATTCATTCAGTGAATATCTGCAGTGGAAGCAAACTTTTATGTTTCTGAACCAATTATCTCACAGCTAACAAAGCCTTTCTTGGAGACGTGTTACAATATATGAACACTGTTTCTTTGGATATAGGGGTATGAATTTAGTGCCTGTGAAGAAACTGCTGTGATCTGAGTGATCTAATCCATAGTGGTTGTTTAAGTTAAGTTAGAACTAATTTCAACAAATTCTGACTTATTATTTCAGGATGTCACAATCATGAAATTTAAATAATCATCTTTTTTTTGTTCATTTTGTGAATGTACTAGTGTTACATTAGAGGTATTTGCACCTTTAACTGCCACCTTTTTGCTTCAAATCCAACAAATCCACCTCCTCCAACTTATTTGGCTCGCTTTTTTGGCTTAAAAACAAAATGTGCCCACAGCGGTGCTGAGGTGTTTGGCTGTGCAACTACATCCACGACTTCAGTGTCATTAGATGCTCATCAAAATGCTGTAGGTCGATGATTAGAAGTTATTAGGAGTTAATTGCCATTAAATCACAGCAGAAGGAGAGGGTGGAAACAGTGGAAAACATACAGAAATCAACCAGTTATACAGGATGATCACAGTCAGCTCAAGTGTTTATTATCAGGTGATTTTCTAATAACTGTGACAGGCGTAGACTAGTATTATTGTTATTGGTGCAGTAGTCATGTCTATCTGGACATAGAAAAATGAGGAAGGGGAATCTTTCTGAGAACAGCACTGGATTTTAAGTTTACTAAGACGCTAATAAAAAGCAATCAGAAAATTGCCCATCAACCTTAAACAACAGTTTATATCTTTAAAATGTAACATTGCTTGTCCATTTGTCTTATTAGAAACTGCTGCCTGTAAAAAGCGACGTGTTTGATGCCGACTCAGAGAGTGACAGCGACAAAGACCGGCCAACTGACTCGCCCATCAAGAAGAAGAAAAAGAAGAAAATCCGGGAAGAAGTAGAATCACCTCCTAAAGAGAAACAGAAGAAGAAGAAGAAAGACAAACGCAAGGAGGAGTTAAGACCCCTACCGGCACCAGAAACAGATGAAGAGGAGGACACGGTCCCGACCCCACCGTCTCCTCCCAAGGAGAAAAAGACTGAATCAAAAAAGCGCGTTGTTGATTCTGAGGAGGAGGATGACGAGCCAGTTCCCTCTAAAAAACACAAAAAGGAAAAGGGAAAAGAGGCTGGAAAACATAAGAAAGAAAAGGCAGAGGAGGGAAAGAAAAAGAAAGGGAAGAAGGAGCGGAAGATTGAAACCTCTGAAGACGAGGCCACTGCTCCGCTGGAGGACGACCTGAGTGAAGGGCTGTCTGAGTCCCAAATGGACGATTCTGCATCAACTGATACTGTAACAAAATCTGTAGAAAAGGCCGGTTTGGATGACAAGGCCAAACAGAAGAAGGGAAAGTGGGAAGTTAAGCTGCAGGGCATTAAGGACCTTATTCATGACAAAAAGAGTAAAAAGCCAGATGGCACACAGAAAGAAGGCAGCCTCCAAAAAGCAAAGAGCCATGCCTCTAAAAACAAAGAGGACTCTGCCCTTCAATCAGACTCCAGTGATAGCTCCATCCTACATAAGAAAGCCAAGAGCAAAGGGCAGGAGAGCACGTCGGCGCCACCTAAAGTCCCGTCTTCCTCCACTTCCTCGTTGTCGTCTTCGTCCTCCGTCACAGCTGCTAGCACCACCAAGGGAAAGGAGGAGGAGGTTCCTAAAGAGGAGGTATTAGGACAGAAGGACGCCACAGGTTCAACTAATCTGTTTGAAAAGTTCCTATTAAACTGCGAGGCAAAAGATCGTGCCCCCCGCAGGCAGGCGGCAACTCATCAACCTGTCGTAGAGAAGACCACCAGCAAACCCACAAAGGTACAACATTAATTATTACATATTTCATTTCTATTTTTTCCATATTTACTATGAATGTTCAAACATTTGAACACATCGACAACGTGCAGTTTTTCGCTTTTCTATTAACTTTTTCGGTTTAATGTTTTCAAAAATTGCAATGTGCTTATAGTGTTCTTGCTTTCTATCTGTCCCAACATTAGGTACTAGGAAAGACTGAGAAGGTTCCCAAGTCAACCAAAGAGTCCCCAGTTCAGAAAACAGAGCCCGAGAAGACGGAGAGGAGTAAACAGTCAGATGGTATGGAAATTAAAAACACAAGCTTACTGAAGTTCTTAGTTTAAAGAGCACATAGTCACATCATTTTAACTGAATTCCGCTAAAGAACATCATAACACAAGATGACAACATTAAAGAAATGTGAAATAGGTCAACAAAGGAGCATACTCCACAAATAAGCATCTCAAAATTACTAGCTGCCTAAGTTATGAAATTAGAAGTTAATGTGTGGTGATGTTGTAATAACTTTATTTATATGCCATTGTTTAAAAACAGAGTTTACAAAGTGCTTTGAAAGAGAAGTCCCAGAACAGGAGAATACTCAGGAAAGCCAGTCAGACCAAACAGAAAGGGGGAAAACAACATTAGAGATGAAAAAAGTGGAGGAATACAAGTAAACAAAGTAATAGATGCAAAATGCAAAATAAAAAATCAGAGGAGACTGCTTAAAACAGCAACAGTCCCTTTAACAGGGCTTAGGAAGTACCAGATGGAGTTCTTCCATCTCTAGAGTAGCTTGACTCAGACTGGATGCCATTCTGAGTAAAGCCCATGTGACTGCTCACTTGGATTTTGTCAAGCAGCATTTTAAAACCTCTGAAACCATGAGCACGTCACATCTCTGGTCTGATGAAATGTAAATTCAGCTGATTGAGCAGAACTACGAGCAAGCAAGTGTTGTTTACACCAAGCACTGCTCATCATCTGGTTAATACAGTCCCTACAGGGAAGCATGGTGGTGGCAGCATCATGTAATGGGGATGTTTTTCAGGGATGGATATAACTTACAGAAGGATGAATACAACCAGAAACATACAGGTCCTTTAAGAAAACCTGCTCGAGAGTGCAGTGACCAGATAGTGGGCCAGCTGTTACCTCTCAGCACCACAATGAACCAAAGCAAAGAGCCAAGACGATGGCGATGGTTGTATCCAGTCTTCGAAATTCCTTGTGCAAAGCTTATAGAGACTTGACCAAAAGCTGTAATTGCTGACAAAAGAGGTTCTGCAAAGTACAGAATAAAGGTTTTGTACATCACAATCCATACAGTAAGGCAGTCTAACAGAACAAACAAGTGTTTTTTTGTTTGTTTTGTTTTTTTAAAGGGCACCTTAAAATCACACCTGCCAATGCAATTTCTCGTGCTCAGGTGTTGCAGAGTGACTGAATTTACTGTGTTGTTCAGTGCCACAGGTGGGGACCAAGGGCATTTAAATACACTATTTGCTTTGTAAAACCTTGTGATTTTACAAAGCTTGTGCACTTGTGGACAGCAAAGTGTGGGAACCGTAAACTGTAAATTTTATCAAGCTTCATAAGTCTAACTTTAAAAGGGGCATTGTGAAAAGAAAGAAAAAAAAAGAGTGGTTTTCCCCTTTTAAACTTTGTGTACACTGTCCTGTATTGTTATTAAAAAGATTAGATACAGTTGTGTAATGGTACAAGTGTATTATGGTGTTTGCATGAGTTAAAGTGAGTGAAGAAGTTGCATAAGTGGTTAAAGGTGGTCCAGTATCTTAAATAGAAATGATCAATAGAAATTGCAGATTGTTTATTTTGGCTTGAGATCTTTTAGCCAGAAGTAAATAGTAAAATCCAAACATTTTTTTCTTGCTCCTACTGTGATTTTTAGTCACTGGTGTGCAATAATTGGATTGGTTGCATGTCTTAAACAGACACAAACCATTTCCACAAGCTTCACAGTAATGTGCATCTGATAGCAATAAACAATGATCATTAACTGATGGTGCAATATGAACGTAAGTCTGAAAAACTGACCAGGGCTTGCCCAAATTTCAGACCTGTTTTAGTTCTTCATAATGAACATTCCAGCTTTAATCAGTGAGTCGCAGGTCTCCTCCGATGCAGAACAGGAAGAAGCTGCTGTGTTCTATTTGTTTGACAGCTGTGATGGATGGTGACAGGCTATCTGAGCTCCTTGCGATACATTGTTTAAGAAGTATGATTTCTTGTCTGCTTCCCTTCAGTCCCCAGACCTGGCCAGAGTTACGGCTTCAGCCTGGACAGCGATGAGAAGGAGGAGGAATCTACAGGAAAGTCGAGGCCTGGAGAGGATTCCCGGGAGCGGAAGGAGAAGCCAGAGGAGGCGCAGAGGCCCGGCTGGGAGAGGAAAACCCAGGTTGATGACAGGAGGAAGAAGAGGGAGGACAGTGAGCCCAGACTCTTCATAGCATGTGATGATACCCCAGACCCACCAGAGGGTGCTGACAAACCTGGTATGTTTTCGATTGGACACTGCTGATTTTTGCTGCCTCCAAATATCATGTTTCTCCTTGTACATCCAACTGCATATTTGACATGTCAGCTTTATTGATTTCAGTTTGAATTTCAGAGAGTATGAAAGGTAATTTCAATTCAGAACTGCTAACTAATGATCTTTACATTGTGTGTACAGATAAGGGCCAAGCCACTCTGAGTCTAGGAATGGACCTCAACCTGGACTGGATGACTCTGGACGACTTCCAGAAACATCTGAACGGAGAGGATGAGATCTTGTCAGGTCCACCATTGTCACCAAGTAAGTGTTTCTTTATAGCTTCTCTGAGTGATGAGCTATTCATCAAATGTTTACCATTGAAACGATGTATTTGTGTAGTATATAGAGAAAAGAGAATGATTTTAATTGTAGCAATTACTCCCAAATGAAGCAATACATATTGTACAGTGTGTAAACAGTCACTGTACCGTGTAGGTACACAAGCCACAGCACTCCAAATCCATCTAAAATGGCAGCAGCCAGGTGTTGACATAGTTTGCTTGTCAACAAGAATGTCACGCTGCTGTTGCTGCTCATATGGTACTATGCTAACAACTGAATCAGGGCTATGTTGTCTTACAAGTTGTACAGTACAAGATGTGGTCAAGAAGTGTACCTGATTTAAATGTGGCCACCATGCTAATGAAATGAGTCTCCTTATGTAGCAGTACAACCCTTTCAGCATTTTTGCAACACCTCTCATGTGCGCTGGAAGTCCCACTATGTAAACATATCAAACACCATCTCTGAGGGGCACTGAGTTGCCTAAACTGTTGCAAAATGGCAGATGTTATTTAACTGTAAATTAACTTGAATTTCCTCTTGGGAAAGATGAAGCAGTCAGAGGGAGCCAAATCTAGCATTTAGGGTGAATGAAGAGCAACGATTGTGGCGATGCGCCCAAAAAGACTGTGTGCTGTGACCGGATACAATGCATTTTCAGCACCCACATGTCATCACGCCACAGTTGAGGATGTTTGCTGCAGTGAAACAGTCTGAACCTGGTGGACTAATTCCCAGTGCAAAACTATATGAATGTTGCAGAAAGCAAAACGCATGCTCCTGGTGCACTCCTGACCAGATAAGCCTTGTTCAGTCTTGGAAGCTGTGGCCTCTTTTTCTGTGGAAGCTGCCGGCTACTGCAGTGGTAGCTGCAGACCTACCTAATGTAACACACAATACAGAATATGATGAGAAATCCCAAATGTGCTCCTGCCAGTGGTCACAAAAACATGTTTAACTCTGGTCCCACCATTTATAGCCGATGTCACATGGTTTCCTGACTTGTCAGAGTTACGGCTTGCACATGTTGTGTGCATGTTACCCTGACACGTTATATGCATGCATGAGAATCTTAAAAACGTTTCACACCACATACAGTCTCTGCAATTGAACATTTGTCCCATTTAGAGGCTCATGTTTTGAGTTGTTAACACAATGAATAGTAGGCATGTACTTTTAAATTTAATGTTATCTGTTAACTTGTTTTTTCTTTTCGTTCCTGTCAGGTGAATTGCGAGATGCTGTGAAAAGTGGAGATTACATGGCTGTAAAATTAGCACTGAATTCCAAAGAGGACTACAATCTGGACCAAGAGGTATTTTCAAGTTCCTTCCCGTAAATTTTATATAACCCGTCAACCAACCATCTTATTTTTATCTCCTGGCTAGCTTGTGCTTTATTTTATTTTATTTTATTTTATTTTATTTTGTTTTATATTTATTTTTTAATTTGCGTCTATCTCAAAGGCTACCTGAGCATTCAATTCCAAGACAAAAGCCCATTTTATAAACTTTACAGCTTGCACCTTGGTTGCCCCCAGTGTGTATGTGTGGATGTGGTTGCAGTTTGGTATGAAAAAATTAGAATATTTGTCGATGATCAGTGTCCATCTTGCTTTGGCACTAATAAGGATGAGTACTTGCCTTCCCTGGTACTCTTCGTTACAAATGCATGAATCGACATTGCGTTTGAAATTATATTTTTACGGAAGGAGAAGAAACATGGTTGGAATATGTAGAAAGCACAAGACATATTTTAGTTATTTTCAGCACAGTTTTTACACTTCTTACACTTCTTACAGGATTATCAAGGTGGTTTGTTACAACACCTTACAGGTGCTTGTAAACAAACCACCTCCTGTCTCAGATATAATCAACCGTTTGTGATTTGACTTAATTTAATACGGGACTTCTGGAACCTCTCTGGAACCCCCTAGGAACATTGTCATAAATTTGCATTCGTATGAGCAGGAATGGAAAACACTGAAAAGCAAACATTCATCGAACTTCTTGCTGTGGTTGCACAGTTTAGCAGAATAATGCCATCCCATCGCATTCAAAGGATCTTCATAATGAACCCATACAAACATAGCTCATAGATGGGCGGGGGAGGGAGTATTTTCCAGAGGAATCTGTCTCTTGAAGATCTACATCCACAGACTTTCCTGTTTGTCTGCTAAAAATCCGGCACCTCAAGATCTTTTTCACAACTCCAAAGCACCTTTGCTTCTGTGACAAATCCAGGTAAGACTTGTCTCAAATGTTTGCAATTTATGAAAATTACTGTTGTAACAGTGTAAATTTGTTATAATTTGATCATTTAGCTTAATTGTCACTTTGTATGTTATCTAGCAGAACCAGCTGTGTGGTAATTAGGTATTGAATTCAGATTATGCTGAAAATGTATTTCGAGCTAGAAGGCCTTGTTGCTTACTTTCAACCTGAACGACATTGTTCTAGTGTGCAAATATGTAAAAAGCTGACGCTAAGCTCAGATAGGCTGATCATTTAGTTGTTTTTATATCAGATCAGAGTGCTATTTAAAATTGCAAGGACCTTAATTACAACCTAACTTATTAATTATGTCTTTGTCATTTTCAAAATATAAAAATTTTAGCCTGTGAATTTAGTCACCTTTTCCTAGTTAGACAGACTACAAAATCAAAATCTTTAGTTTAATAATTTGTTAACTGTCTGGTTAATGTGCTTGGTGCATGTAAGAGTGTATGTACAACCAGCCTGTGCTGTTTTGATGTTGAAAATAACGCTTTAGTTTATGTTAAACTCTATATTGATAACTTGAATATATTATTGTTCATTCATCATTGTATTAATTGTAAAATGTGCACATTAGAGACTTTGGTGTCATCTTTTCTTGCAGTGAACAAGCGAGGGGAAGAAGACACTGAACACATGAAGGACAAGATGAACCCTTTAAAGCAGGTACATACTGTATACGTTTTCATGTGTCATCATCATTTTCATGCGGCCTGCTGTATGCACCAGCAGCCATCAGCCATTCAGAATCTTTTTTTTCTATCATCAGAAATTTAAACGCGTAGAAGACATCTAAAAATATACAAGGTTATTGTTAATATATGAATGGCTGGACAAGTGTTTCATGTTTGGCTTTTGTACCTGGCCTGGTTCAGGACTCTGTTAGATGTTTTAGCCAGATTCGGGACATGTAATGTTAAATTGGCAGTTAAATCTGCAAAAGCACTCGTCTGTCAAAGCCAAAGTCTTTTGTATATCACTTTCAAAGTAGCGTAGTAAATTGTTTTGATTGCAAGTCATGCATGTAGGTTTAGTGTCAGTGCATATTCTGTTCTCTCCATGTAGCATTTCATTCTACACCCCATGACTACTTATACATGGTTAGACATTTACGATGTCAAAACGCTGCTTGAGCCAATAAAGCCATTAACTGTTCTTGAATGGGTCACATGTGGTTTTTGTACTGGAGATTTGAAAAGTGTCAGGGGTTTTTTCAACCGATGTTGGGCTTTAAAAAATGATGTGTGGCCATCACATTCACTTATGTTTGAATGAGCCTGGATCTTGATGGGGCATTGCCAAGGTGCTGATGTCTTTAAACAGCAATTTTTAAAAATGTGCAAAGGTTTTTTTAAAATGGAATACCAAAGCAAAAAAATATCACCACCGCTTTAACTCCCAAAATTCAAAACATTTTTTTGCGTTTTTTCCCCTCCCCCTCCCCACATTATTTCCTTAAGGGTCTGTGTTTTAGGTTCAGTCAAATTATACATTGGATCTGATTTGGCGATGAGTCTTACATATACTTGTTCTTTTACAGGCCTGTACTTTTGGTGAGAAGAGGTCTTTTGAAGGAGAGAGGAGCTTGATTGAAGAGAGACGTTCAAGTGGTGCTCTTAGGTTGACTTCTGATATTGAAAGTGCAAGAAATGAAGAGAGCACTCCAAAAGCAAAAGAGATTATCTCACAAGGATGGGATGGTCCAATAAATGACTGCCTTACCAGTACAAACACTGAGCAAGTGACAGTGAGGGAACATGACACTATCCAACAAGGTGGGAACGATATAACTGATTACAATAATGCAGCTTTTGGTTCAGCTACCGAGTGGGAAAGTCGAGGACAGGAAGACAAGAAGGAGCTGGAGGAAGACGACTCAATGGGTGCTTTTTCGAGTGAAATGAGTGTCAGCATTGATAATTCTGATCTAATTACAAATGCAGAAGGGATGGTGACCAAAGGTGACATCAAAACAGAACAAAATGGCAAAGTTAGCAAAAATAGTTCCTCCCAGCAAGCAAATGACTCAAGTGATGAGGGGGAGGATGTGGTGGCAGGTAACTCAGATAGCACAGATCAAGTTCTGTCTGAGTCGGGCACCAAAGAGACGTTTAAAACGCGATTACGTCGCCACCGAAAAGCTTTGGAGAAGAGACAACCAACACGATCAAGTTCGAGGAACTGTAAAAAAGTGGTGGAAACAACACCGAGCACAGAAAAAGAAGAGAAGAAAGAGTCGGGCAAAAAGCACTTCTGTTTGTATTGCAAAATGGCTTTCTCTCAACTTGCAAAGCATTTGGAAAGAAAGCATTCAGAGGAAACAGATGTTGCCCATGCAATACACTTTCCCAAAGGTTCTAAAGTCAGGCAGACGTTGCTTGACCAAATTCGCAATAAAGGAGATTATGAACATAATTGCCAAGTTCTCAAAAGTGGTGAAGGGGAGATTGTGACCAAGAAACAGGTCAAGAAACCCACCATATCTGTCCGTGACTTCCTACCTTGCCAGCACTGTTTTGCATTCTATCGCAAGACTGATTTATGGAGACATGAGCGATCATGTAAGGCCAGAAAGGGAGATCAAAAATCCTCTGAAAGGACAAAAAGAGCCAGAGGTCACAGTGCTGCCTCCCGGCTGCTTCCAATGTCGGAGTTCTTAACTGGAGGCTGCGAGGAAATCATCCACATAATGCATCAAGATGACATCTCAAGGCATATCAGAAACGACCCACTTATTTGTAAATATGGCAATGCATTGTCTGTTAAGTATGAACACGACAAGTCTCAGTTTGCTTATATTGCACAAAAGATGAGGGAACTGGGCCGGTTTGTGCTGGCTGTAAATGAGCTTGACAAGAGCGTGAAGTTCTTGCATGAAATATGTCTACCATCCAAATTTGAATTAGCTGTTGAGGGGGTTAAAAAAGTTAGTGGATTTGACCCCAGTTCCAGTAAGTTTAAAACCATTTCCCTCGTCTCAAAGATCGGCTACTCTCTGAAACGAGCTGCAGAGATAGCTTTCGGGGAAAGCCGCATGACAGAGGACAGTGAAACAGAAAGTGAAATTAAAAAGTTCATACAGCTTCTTGATACAAAATGGAGCGAGTGTTTTTCTCGCAAAGCGCTTGCATTATCGTTAAAGCAAGAAGTCAAGAAAGTGGAAGTAGACAAATCAACTGTGACAGAAGATCTGGTTAAACTTCACAGGTTCATCACCGGGGAGGGAGATGAAGCCAGGAAGGAGTTGAAAGAAAGTCCTAGTTTGTCAACATGGAAGAAGCTTAGCGAAGCCACTTTAGCAGATGTATGTCTGTTTAACAGAGGAAGGGTAGGAAATATTGGTAGACTACTCTTGCAAACTTACCTTCACAAAAAAAGCGGGGGAACATTTTTGCCCTCTGCAGATCAAGTAAGAAAAAGCACAAAGCTGGAGTTGGAGCTTGGTTCCAATTTCACCAGGTTGGAACTAGAAGGTCAGTATGGAAGGAACATGCTGGTTCTACTAACACAAAGGATGATTTTGTCCATTGACTTGCTTGTTGAGAACAGAGAGCAAGCGGGTGTTTCAAAAACTAACCCATACCTGTTTGCACGGACTGAAGGCCCATCCTTCATCAGAGGATTGGATTGTTTCCGAAGGGCTGCGATGGAATGTGGTGTAAAAAACCCTGAAGCACTTTTGTCCTCTTCATTAAGGGAGCAAATTGCAAGCTGCTGGCAGCTAATGAGCCTCAGTGAAAGCGAATTGGATCAAGTGGCCACACTAGTGGGAAGGAGCAGCCAAGAGTGTTACAGGCTCTCAAAAAATGCTTCCCAGCTGGAGGAAGTGAGCAAGCAGCTGCTCAAGATGGATCGAACACTGCCATCAGCTCCGCCCAGCACTGCCACAGACGGTGAGTACTTGGGATGCAAATGTCAAACAGTTTTCTTAGTTGATAGTCAACCACATTTTTAAATAGACGAATTGTTAAAACAAATTAGGTAAAGTAGATATTTTTTTAAACGTTCTGAAAACTCCATTCCCAACCACAGACACAGC